ATATATATATACATACTGTACATCGATCATACAGATGGTTACCTACCTGCTAAGGTCAATACAAAGCAAACATATGGCAATTAATGGATACTGTCGGTTCCTGATCGGTGTTCTGTAATGCAGATGATCAGTCAGATGCCTCCTGGTCTGTTTCCGGTTTATCCGCCAGTCCCCCGGTACCCTGCCAGCCAGCTCCCACGTTACCGGTGTACTCCTCTCCCCCAGCAGTCCAGCATGCAAGGAAAGAGAGGAACACCTTATTAATCAAAGAGCCAAATAATGTCCCAAATGTAGGGCTAAATGTATAAGTATCCGCCATGTTATAGAAGACCAATCATAAAGAATATGCAAGGCAGAGTCGTCATCAAAATGGCCCCGAAACGGAGACCACAAAATCTGTACCATTCGTTCTCTTTAGTCTGAGAAAGTAAAAACCATCACGGGGTATTTGTCGCTGTTAATTGGAGGAAGCGACTTTATAATGATTGACAGCTAGTATAGCCAATTGTACGACGCCTGAGAAGCCATCCATGGGGACGTCATTGCGCAGGCCCGTTGCGTGGGCGCCATTTTGGCTAAGCCGTTTTTTCAAAGAGCGAGGATGACTGGTCTACACAAAAATGGCCGAACCAATACTACTGTGTCTCACATGTTGCGGACAGTTTTTTTTTAATGTTAATAAAGTATACAGTATTGTGACAGCCATCAACTGCCATGTTGGAGTGGGGCAGTGTGGTATGTGGCAGGACTTTGCTCTGGTCTACAGCATAGTTTAGTAGCCTGAAAGTCTGTGGAAGCTTTCAATTTACGGCATGGAACTCAGCGGTAGAGGCCAGGTAGTAGGCCTGGGGACTCATGGCTGGAGATGTTGTATGTGATGTCTCTGGGGTACATGTGATACGGGTATGTTGTATATAGGTACGTACATAGCAGCCTGTATGTAGCTGGGGAGCCAGCTGATCATATCAATGTGTTACACAATAAAATCTGCTGTCATCCCCTCGGTGGTATGGCTGACCCTGGGTTTTGATTCGGTAGTGTCCCAGACACAGAGTGTAATGATCCACAAGTCGATCTATTTTGATGTATTTGTCTACTTGTATTTGTATCTTTATTTTTTGAGTTATCATTATTGTATTGTCTTGTACGGACTGCTGGAAATGCTGAGTTTAGAATGTCGATCTGTAATTGTCATTGTCTTTATGTGATTGTTTTTATGTATTAGTCCCCCGGTACCCTGCCAGCCAGCTCCCACGTTACCGGTGTACTCCTCTCCCCCAGCAGTCCAGCATGCAAGGAAAGAGAGGAACACCTTATTAATCAAAGAGCCAAATAATGTCCCAAATGTAGGGCTAAATGTATAAGTATCCGCCATGTTATAGAAGACCAATCATAAAGAATATGCAAGGCAGAGTCGTCATCAAAATGGCCCCGAAACGGAGACCACAAAATCTGTACCATTCGTTCTCTTTAGTCTGAGAAAGTAAAAACCATCACGGGGTATTTGTCGCTGTTAATTGGAGGAAGCGACTTTATAATGATTGACAGCTAGTATAGCCAATTGTACGACGCCTGAGAAGCCATCCATGGGGACGTCATTGCGCAGGCCCGTTGCGTGGGCGCCATTTTGGCTAAGCCGTTTTTTCAAAGAGCGAGGATGACTGGTCTACACAAAAATGGCCGAACCAATACTACTGTGTCTCACATGTTGCGGACAGTTTTTTTTTAATGTTAATAAAGTATACAGTATTGTGACAGCCATCAACTGCCATGTTGGAGTGGGGCAGTGTGGTATGTGGCAGGACTTTGCTCTGGTCTACAGCATAGTTTAGTAGCCTGAAAGTCTGTGGAAGCTTTCAATTTACGGCATGGAACTCAGCGGTAGAGGCCAGGTAGTAGGCCTGGGGACTCATGGCTGGAGATGTTGTATGTGATGTCTCTGGGGTACATGTGATACGGGTATGTTGTATATAGGTACGTACATAGCAGCCTGTATGTAGCTGGGGAGCCAGCTGATCATATCAATGTGTTACACAATAAAATCTGCTGTCATCCCCTCGGTGGTATGGCTGACCCTGGGTTTTGATTCGGTAGTGTCCCAGACACAGAGTGTAATGATCCACAAGTCGATCTATTTTGATGTATTTGTCTACTTGTATTTGTATCTTTATTTTTTGAGTTATCATTATTGTATTGTCTTGTACGGACTGCTGGAAATGCTGAGTTTAGAATGTCGATCTGTAATTGTCATTGTCTTTATGTGATTGTTTTTATGTATGAAAATTCAATAAAAAGCTTTACCTGTTAAAAAAAAAAAAAAATCTGCTGTCATCAGAAAAGAGTAATTTTGATTGCAAGCTCTTGTGGACAGGATTGTTTTCATTCTTTTCTACATTATTGGTGTTAATGTATGAGTTTATTGTTCTGATACTACATTCATATTGTTGTTATTATATTTTGGGTTTTGTTGATCTGCTTATACATTAGAGAGGAATATATGTAGGCAACTAAACTATAATTGTTTTTATATTAACAACAATCAGGGGTGTGTTTCGAAAGGATTCACTGTGGATTCACACAGCGAATGTTTCTCAACATTTCTTCTTTCTTTTTATTTTATGGCGTTCATTTTCAAAGAGGATTCATCCTATGTATATTGCGCCAGATAGGTAAATCCTATTTAAATGTAAAGCCCTACTTCGGGCAAAGTATGATCCCCACTAAGCCATTGTGTAAGGTTTGTGCTAGGGATGTACCGATACTGAGTATTTGTGCCAGTACTCGCCCAAATGCTCCGATACCTTCCCCAATACCGGAACGTCCGGTCAGAGGAAGATTTCCTCTGACCAGCAGTGCCATAGGGGAACATGCACCCAGCTTCCTGTGCAATCAGGAAGCTGGGGTATGAGTAATGACCCGCCTCCCGGTTTCCTGATTGGCCGGAAAGTCGGCTCCATGCTGATTGGCTGGGAAGTCGGCTTCATGCTGATTGGCTGGGAAGATGGCTTACTGGCCAATCAGCATCGAGCCGGCTTCCCAGGCCAATCAGGAAGCTGGGAGGCGGGTCATTACTCGCTGCCTGGCTTGCTGATTAGCGGGGAAGCCGGCTCGATGCTGATTGGCTGGGAAGCAACATGGAGCCAGCTTCTTGGAAGCACCAGTATCGGTACTCGGTATCGACGAGTACCGAAAGCAAAGTATTGGCACTCAATACCGAAAAACCGGTATCGGTGCATCCCTAGTTTGTGCCATGGAAAGCCTTAACACGACCCCCTCCCCCCCCATGCCACCACTGGCATTCTTTCTTTGACAGATGTCACACTTCTGGAGCCTGAGGACCCCACCGCTGGACGGCCAATAGTAAGTGTCCATGTCATGCAGGCAGTTGAGTGGTCACCTGAAGGACCCCACCATGTAAACAGATGGGGAGAGGGCATGGAGTGCAGTGTCACATGACCACGGCTTTAGGTTAGTAAAAAGGGCATTTTTTTATTCATTTTTTTTTTAATCCAGCGCCCACTTAGAGGAGGCTGGCAGGAAGGGGGCGGTAGAGGGTTCTTTTTTTGTCCCGAGCTGGGCTTTAAAGAAGAATTCCGGGGCATAATTATTCTTAACCCTTGCAGTGGAGCTACCCCATGCACTGCAAGGGTTAAGTGCTCATTTTCATCTAGGAACGAAAATAAAAAGTGATACTCACATGAACATTGAAGCCAGCCGGCTGTTAGACCAGTCTTGCTCCCTCTCCGTTCCGGTTGTCTGAGGTCTTGTGAATCATCATGTCCTATACAATGTATAGGACGTGAGGACATCAAGGGACTTTCCATGTGGCAGGGACCGGAGTAGCAGCTAGCTGGCGCTGAGCTTCAGATCAGTATAACTTTATTTCCATCCCTGGACCAAAACAAGCACTTAACCTTTGCAGTGCAAGGGTAGCCCCACTGCAAGGGTTAAGAATAATTATGCCCGGAGTTCTTCTTTAAATGTACCAGCACATCTTGTTTGTTATGAGAATCTCCCTATTATATTGTATGCGGCTGCTGATGGGTGAATCTCCTAGGTGAATTTGAGCGACTCCATTGAAAACATTTAAAGTCAAACATGAGTCACCCATCTGCTGCTTATATATTGGGTGAATCCTCTTTGAAAATGGAATGCCATAAAATGCAGGCAGGCGAATATCCAGCAAACATTCACCATGTGAATCATGCAATGAATCCTTTATAAAGAGTTCCCCTAGAGATCATTTTATTAATGTTTTCACGCTGCTGTATTGTGGAAGTATTAGTCTGTGTAGATTATTGTCATTTATAACTGCATTCATGAGGAATCTGTTGTTTTCTAGATTCTCCCTCATAATGTTAAGCCAGGAGGAAGCGGAAGCTCAGATCTCAGAGCTCGACCTTCTCTCCAGCATGTTCCCCAGCGAAGAAGAGTTTGTCGTCACGGATCAGCTGGCACTGGCGGAGCTGAGGGAATTTGCAGAGAAGCAGACAGCGGTCACTCCAACATTTACAATTCAGTTCACGCTGACTGTGAAACTTGGTGAGAGCAATGCAACTAATACCCAGGTAATGTGGGTAAGTCAGTATACGTTGTGTGTGTGTGTGGTCTCAAAAAAAGGAAGCAGTATTTACATTAACATTTGAGTCGGCTTGCTGTGGCAGAACAGACAGTTTTAGAGGGGTTTTGTTTTTTTTCACCTGTCTGCTATAATAAATAGTATACTAGTGGGACTATCCCCACACTGCAAGGATTAGGTGATCATTTTATCTAGGGAGCTAAAATAATAACTAGGGATGTACCAATATATCGGCCGCACATATCGTCCACAAATGGCACTTTTGGCATAACGCGATAAACGTTGATAAAGCGGTGCATCCGTTCTTTCTCTCCTTCCTGCTGGTCGCTGCCCTGTATCCCAGTGGGGAGGAGAGAAACTATCAGAGGCGGCCGATCACCGCGGGAGGTGAGCGCCGTGAGCGGCCGGCATCTCTCCTCCCACACCGCTCCTGCGCCAGATCAGAGGAGAGCAGTGTGGGCGGAGACAGCTTGCAGTGCTGTCACAGCAGGCTGAGCTCCGCTCGCTCAGCCTCCTGTGACAGCTGTCAGGATGGAGAGCGAGGTACAAACACTCAGTGATGAGTGTTCGCTGGGTGTTTAAAAAATAATTGAGTACAGAGTATGGTTACGATATCCTCAATTATGAATGAATGGGAAGTGATCTACATCACCTCCTGTTCATTCATGATTGTGTTTATAGTATACACACTCTGTCCTCATGTCATGAATGAACAGAAACACTCAGTATAGAGGATTCCTGTTCATTTATAACAGGGGCTGCAGAAAAAGAGATTGAGGACTCTGTGTCCTCAATCTCTTTTTCTATTTTAAAAGGGAAATATCAGGGGTCTAATAGGTTTAGACCCCTAATATTTCCCCAAAGCCCTTAAAAGTAAAGTAAAAAATTTACAAATAAATATAAAAAAAATGAAAGTTTATCAAAAATAAATAAAATATTTTAAAAAATTGAAATAAAAAAACATTTACGGTTTCGGTCTGACATTTTTTTTTATTTCGGTTTCGTTTCGGTTTTGAAATTTTTATTTTGGTGCACCTCTAGTAATAACTATGTACTCACCTGATCAGCGATCCCAGCTGGCTCCTACACCGCTCCCTCCACCATGTCTCTTCCTCAGCTCCAGCAATGTAATGTCCCTCAGCGGCCTTACCTTCTATACAATGTATAGGATGTGATGATTCACAGGACCTTAGACCACTGGTGCGGAGGGGGATAGAGACCGAAGAAACCGGTCTAAGAGCAAGCTGGGATCATGGTTTGGGTGAGTATAACTTTGTTCTTATAGAACCCTAGATAAAATGAACACTTAACCTTTGCAGTGTGGGGGTAGCCCCATTCAAGGGTTAAGATTTGATTTGCCCGGAGTTCTGCTTTAAGTGTAACATAGCTTTACTTTTTTTCCCACACGTAACAAGTCCTCTCCTGTGTTTAAAATTATTACTCTCAATTCCCTGTAAACTGCATCTGCACAGTAGAACCCTATGATGGTGCAGCAGCTATCTTGAGTCCACCTTCATTTCCTATATGAACGACCCTCATTGATTCGTCCATAGCTTTCTCCCGGATTCATACTGTCTTTGGCACCCCTCTACAGCTATTAGCTTTTTCTGACATGAGTTTTATGTGAAAGAACACATCTCTGCACCTGTAGCCGTGCCTGCAACTAGTCAACCAATCAGCAGATTGCACAGCTTAAAGGTCCCCACACACCTTGCGATAATCGTACGATAATCGCGGGAAATCCCGCGATCGTACGATTATCGTAAGGTGTGTGGAAGCCGTGCGACCTCTACTACTGTAAGGTCGGACGACTTTTAACTTACGAACATGTTCGAAAACCCGCCGAGCATCGTACGATGTTCGGCGGGTGTGTAGCATGTTCATACAATAAAAGCCGGAGGGGCCGGTGTGCGCAAGCGCACACTGCCTGTTTGGCATTGCGGTCATCGGAAGCCCGCCCCTCAGGGCTAAAACCTGATGAAGGGACCCTGTGCTTGTTTGGTCATATGACAAAAAACTTAAATAAATGAGACCCATCACTGGGTCTCAGAGCAGGTATTTCTTAAAAACCAAAATCAATTTAATAGAAACATTGTAAGTGCATGTTGATCTGTGGGGGAGGGGGTAACAAGGGAAGGTATGATATGCATACTGTACACTTGATTTTATGATCAATGTGCATTTATTTATTTATTTTCCATTAAAGCCTGCAGAACATTGCACCAGTCATCAGTATGTCACAGGTGCAGTGTAAAGGTTGTATGAATGGTTTTCCCCCTGCCCTTGGTCCGTATGGAGGTACCGAGCTGCTATTATGGAGCTGGAGGACGTTCTCTCTCCTTATGTATAGGGGTTTCTAGCTGAAAAGCAGTAGAGGTCTGTACTACTGGTCACTGCCCTCTGCTCCTCCATTTGTGCTTTGGTTTATAGCACTCTAGTTCTCTTTACAGGCTGCTGGTGTGGGGCAGAACTTCTGGTAACATTTAGCT